AATTCTGGCCTTCTAGCTTCTCAGGTTTTCGAGTTAGCAACTTACCCGAAAACAACTCTCAAGAGTACATACATATGTACAACGCATACCCGGGGCTGGGTTTCAGCTCAATAATGCCTATGTGGACGGGGAACATCCACCTAAAATTTCAGTTTTCCAATTTTTCTGGTTCACGAGTTAGCAGCTTGCCCGTAAAAAAAATGTGGCGGGCCCGTATGTGCATATAGATTGAGTTCCCAAAGTTTCAACCCTGCAGCTTTTATAGGTCTTGAGATGAAATATTGGTACAGACGCACACACAGACGTACACAGACAACTCCTCGTCAATATGGGTTTTGTGTACTGCATAGATGCAAAAAACACATAAAAATGATGTCTGAGTTCTTGAAGCCCAAGCACCTGATCAGCGTAATGATTGCAACTGCGTGCGACATTAACTCAGCTGCTTTTGCCGACTCATTAGACAATGACGAACACTTCATTGACTGAGATTCGAGGAGCAGCTGCATGATTAGTTTTATCAGAGAACCCGTAGTTTCAATGCCATACTGTTTGACATCGTCCAGTGAAGTAAAAGGACGATCGCCCAATGTTCTTTGCCTCGCAGCGAGTAGATTCCTCAGCAGAACTTCATCGAACTGGTCGACAAAAAGGCTCAGAGCAGTGGCGACAGGCTGCCTAAAAATACGGCAGAAATTTATTATTAACAAAACTTCTGGAAGTTAGTTACCTTAGGCTTATCTGAGTAAGAGAAGCAAGCAGTGTTTAACTGTTAATACAGATATACAGACTGCTTCTAGTCCCAGTTATCCAAAAACTACACATTCTCTGCTTGAAATGAATTGAACAAATTGGGCTTAGATCACCTCGGAAGCGGTCCCTGTGTATGTCCGTACAGGACATCTAAAGTATCCTTCCAGAACTGCAGGCGATATATACCGGATAATCCTGAATTACGAACAATTTGATCGCGCATGACGGCCAGCTCCACATTGAACGCTATAAGCTGAAATATGATAATA